TTTATAAAACATTTATTGAACAAACGGCTTTGTTCACTTTAAACAAACACACGATAAGTTTTTTTTATAAAGGTGAAAGGAAGTACATTGATGAAATTTACAAGAACATAAGTGCAATTAATTTGGACCCTTCGCATGTGTTCAAATTGTATGATATATATTTTAAATTTGTTCTTGGTTCGGTATTTTACAAAGTTTGGCGTTTCGCTTATTATTTAGTCATTGCAAATCATCCAAAATCGAATATATTGCGGTTTTATGATTGTGATGACTTTCACCATCAATATAAGATGATACTTAATATTGAAAATTTTCCATCAAATTTATCGATACTTGTATCTAATGTTGATCAATTGTCTACGATAGTATATGATCTATGTTATCAAAGAGCAGAGATAACCGAAAATTACCTCAAAAAAAATAAATCTAAAGGAGAAATACCACATTTTAAAGTGTTTGACAGAGAATACGATTCAGATAATCTGTATTTAAAAGTAGGCAAATTAAAAGAAAATACTGAGAACCATTTTGAAAAATTTGGGATATTCGTAACAAAAATAATAGAAGAAATTCAAGAAAAGCCGGAAAAGCCGAAATGCATAAAGGAAAAATTAATACATTTTGCTCTTAGTAAACCAATAAAAACAGAATTGTTAGAAAAAGATTTCGAAGATACGACTGTGAATACCTCCGAATTAGTCAAGGCTGCTAACAATATGCTGACAAAACTCATAATCAATATTTAATCTGTATTATTTTAGAATTTAGATGAGTGGATTGACATTTTCGCTGAATGTCTATTTTAACTTAATTCGTGTTATCTAAATATAAAATATTTTTAAATAAAAAAATTTATATTGATATCAAATAAAATAAAATCGTTATCATTATTTTGCTTCAGATTATAAAATCAACAATAAAATTAATAAAAACTGGTGTTTCGTTATCTAACGAATAATTTTTTTTGTATATACCTAATATTATACATAATTTTACACAACTTACCTAATGTGATGTGAATATGCTTTCTATAGAACTGCTTCATGTTGTTTTGATTTAGCATATTGTACTAGGTTTGTCTGCTGGTTTCTATTTTAATCATTTTAACTAGTGATTTGGTTCTTGACGTCTGGAAAATGTACATTGTAAAATGGTACCGGTACGGTAACCGTAAATTAACAAAATAGAATTTACGATTTACATTTATTTTACTCTTCAAAAAGTTCTCTTCAAATTATTTAATTTCGTAACCTTTGTCGTATAATAATTGATAGTAATAATTTTAAACAACGTTTAAGGGTATTATTAGTTAAAGTACATACATTATTGGCACACGATAATATATGTCTCAGAGCCTAATAAATAAATCAACAATGAAAGGAAACAACCTAAGTAGTTCTTCAATATCTAAAACTAATATGAGAATTGAAGAACGATTCGAAGTATTTGAAATGTCGTCATTCACTCCATGTCTCCATACTACATTAAAAATAATGATAATATTGCACAACCACTTAAAGTAGAAGATATTTGTAAAAACATGACATTCATTTTCCGAGATTCAGTCTGCAGGTCTATGAACGATGTGTGTCGCCGCCACAACAGAATAAGCACCATAATCAGGCATGTATCCAGGGGGTGGGTCAATGTGATCTGCCCCCCCCCCCCGAAATTCTTGTGTACCGGCATATAAAAAAAATAAAAGGTTTTATATATAAATTAAGCATAAAAATTGTACTAACATTTATTTTGAATAATATTATATATAATATGCAGATATAAAGTGAGATATCGCATGCAGCCGCGTCAGCTGCATATTTAATATTTTTCACGGCCGTAGAAAATAGGTAGTTCTCTATGTGATATCAACGCATCAACCCGCATTATTATTTGTCGTGGAACAAATCGCTCGTTAAATTATTATTTTGTTTGCCGTGCCCAATTCGGTGTTTGATATAATATTATAATATTGTAAATCGTAGGCGCGAATCGCCATTTATAATATTTGATCGTAGGCCCAAATTGCCACTTATAATGTTTGATAGATGGCGCGAATCGTTAGTTTTATTGTTATTAATAATTTAAGAAATATTCCAAAATATGCTAAATGGTTTAAATATTCTATAACAAATGAAATATTCTCTAATATGCAAAAAAACTTTTTTCTGCGCATTCAGAATTGAACGAATCGTCCACATTGTTTACACTTATAAGACTGTATAGATAATAATAACTTATTATCGTGTTATTATTAATGATTTTAATAAATATTTAATGACAAATATAATTATTTATTACAATTAGGAAATAAAATTCAAAAATTATAATATTGTGAAAATATGTTACCTAAAATAAATATTATATAGATTGCTCTATATTTACTCGATTAAATTCTAATCCATCTCCATATTACATTATTGTATATGTGTCAATAATAATATTATAATGAATGGCAACCATCATAGATAGGGCCACGAATCCGAAGTACCTAGTGATAAAAATCAAACTTGTATCTATTATTATTATGTATTATTTTTGAAGAAATAAAAAGACATTAAGTTTATTCTTTATTCTTTATCACAGTAGGACTTTAGGTCGCATATAATAAATATTTATGTGTATATAAATAACGTAAACATTGTATAGGGTTTATCATTTTTAAAATACCAAACTTCCAAATAACCATTTTAATGTACTTATACAATTATTGGTAAGAAATAATCTTAAGAAGACCAAAAAAAAAACAATTATTACGTACTGTTCATAGCTATATAAATAAGCCTTTAATTCTAATTATATAGTTACCTAAATCATGCCTATATAATAATTTATTTTCTTAAGTAACACTCACACACATTTTGTAGCTTGTCTTGCAAGATATTTTTTTATTTTTTTTTTGTAAACACTAAAACCGTTCGAGTATTGTGTACCTGCTGTATTTGATCTATACAATATCGTAATATGTAAACATAGATATCATACAATATCAAACACTAAAAATTAAAAGGGATACCATATTGAATCACTAATAACCTATATATTTTTACTAATATTCAAATATTAATATATAAATATATAATAATTTTTGCATTTATATTATATTGTAAATGAAACTATGCAAAAAATAGGTACTATAATGATATACACATAATATAGGTAATATAGATATATATATACATTATACATAATATAGTATTCTGAATTTCAAATATATTTTTCAAAAACCATTATTTTCGATGGTTTAGAAGAGTAGTTCCCATAAGTACCTACTTTTATTGTAAAAATTTAGCCACAGTTCAATACTGTGAATACCACGAGATACATAAATATAAAATGAATTATAATTATTATCATTGATAATCGAATTTCATAATTAATTGAACAAAATACAATATATAGTATAAGCATTCTAAGCATACGCAGCCAACCTAACAGTAATACGTTTTTATTATTTTCACAATGAATATTATAACATTGTAATTAATGAGATGCAAAGTGCTACTAATGTTACTTGTTAGCGAACTTGAAATGTAATGTTTTATTATTGAGTCTTTAGACTAATTAAAAACTATATTCACCGAATAAATAGTTTCATAAGGATATGAATACCCAATCAAAATGGGTTTGAAATAAGTAAATTTATTTATAAAATAAAATCAAAAACATAAATTAATATTTTTACTTGAATATTGAAACTCAATCATGCTGCTTTAATAAGTATTTTTTATAATAATTAGGTATTAAAGTTGTAATCGGTTGGTTGGCGATTTGTAACACCGATCGAAAACTTACATATGAATAATAAAAATTAGCTAGACAAACAATATTTTATAATTTCATAATGGCCACAGACATTGATCTGATTCTGCTTTACCAAATAAGTATTTTGCTATTTTGATCATGGTTGGCATAAGTTTGAGTTTAATTTTTGATACGAAATCTATATTTTATTCTTCATCACTAAATGTTCCTATAGATTTATTGATACGCATAAACAAAATTAACGTATTTTATTACACAGCTGTTCAACTTCTAAACGTACTGTAATTTTGTCTGGTAAATAATATTACAAACATATTTTATTTTAGAAATGAAATACAACGATTAAAACATAATATTCATACGCAGTAGTTAGTTTGAACATAATATAGTAGGTACGTTATATCAAAATGTCACATATTAAACTATATAATTTTATATTAATAATTTTGTGCATTACATCGAACATTTTTTCAGTTTTATCAAAATTATCAACATTAGAGGATGATGTCAACCTTGCAGTATGTTCTAGTATATTTACCAGTGATCATTTGTCATATAGTATTAAACTACGTCAAAATATGGAATATATTCTGTATGGATATTTGGTTCCATCTTCAGCTACAGAAACAAATACAGATATGCACTATGCACATGAGTGTATTTTATGTTTATACGAACTGTTCATTTGCTGAATGGCTTCAGAATAAACTTTTTAAATTCATCGAACAATTCCCAATATTTTATCAAACGAAATTTCAAAACACTAAAAATAATGAATTTAATAAACCTTTTGAAAGACCGAATCTAATTGATAAATTAATTGAACTCGACTCTTTTGTTAAACGGTTCATAAATATTTTACTGCACAATTTCTTATATCTCGCTGATTTCAGAGATAATGATACGTCGTTATTAAAAACATTGTTATTACTACAATTTGAAATTCCCTTTTTGACGCTCCCTGTAGATACCAAAAAACCACCAACAGATGATGTAGTAGTTCGTTCAATTCTTAAAATAATGAACTTAATTCAAACGTTCATGGCTACGAATTGTGATGATCACACTTACAATAAAAAATATTATAACTATGATAAATATTTAATTAAATCATCACATTTCTTCGATTTCTGGATAACTACATCAGCTGACACTATACTGACTCCATTTTAAAGATTTTGAATCTTATAAAAGAACTGGGTTTAGACAATAGTAACAAATATTGTAATACAGATTAAATGTTGTTGGTAAATATTGTGGCAGAGAACCCGAATCATCCTGTTTTATGGGAGATTTCTCACGCAGTAGTTTATACAAATCCTAAAACAATTAAGATATACCAAATACTAAACAAAATTGAAAAACATGAGTCTGACCTTGAACTAATATTTTGGTATCAGGAATCAATTTTTAATGCAATTGTGAAATTGATATATAGTAAGATAATAACGGCCTTACAACAAGGAACTTCTAAGCCAGAAGACATTGTTAAGTCAATACCAAAATTCATAGAATTGCCGACAAATGTCACTGATTATTTTACGAGCGGAATATATGATACCGATGAAAAGAATGAACAGATTATTAATGATGATATAAAAGAAAAATTGATTAAAAAGATTACTGATCTTCATGACTCGATTACCAATATAATTTTAGAAACTTATAATACAACTGAAAATCAAGACGTATCTAATTTAGATGAATTTACAACATATATGAATTCAAACAGTGAAAAGTTTTACTGTTATATTTCGGTGTTTAAATTTCTACGCAATGAATTCACTAAATATTACATACCATTTTTAAGAGATCTATCAAAAGTCGAACACATTGTGTACGAAGATGTTAAAATCGATGAAATCGTTCGATCCGATGTGGATGATAAACTAACTGATAGTAGCAGTTGTCAATATGTTAGAGATTTGTACAGTCTCTGTCTCGAAGCAACCACATTTTTAAAAATGGTTTTAGACACAAAAAATGATTTGGTAGAGGAATACTCAGAGGAAGTACATACTATTTTGACAACGATTAGAAATTGGTCCATTGAGGTGATCGAACGGTGTACATACAAGGGCTGCAGGGACCTTTTAAAAGTGTCATATCATATTTACGTCGTTTTGAATCCAAAGCACACTGATCATTTTAAATACAATCAAGTGCCGATGTACATGTCATTGATAATGTCTATTTTAAATACCTATTTTATTGATCACTGTAGTCCACCAAAATTCAATTTCTTGTTATTCAACAGTACATATCTCCAGGCTATAGGCAATGATGATGTACTTAATAAACGTTTAAATTCATTTGTGCAGAGCCTTGCAGCTTACCGAAAGATACCGATAGTTGCAAACTATTCAATTTTTTTAAATATTGACAATTTTTATAAAATATATCTTGAAGATACGGCTTTGTTCACTAAAAACAAAGACAAGTTCAGTTTTTTTTACAAAGGTGAAAGGAAGTACATTCATGAAATTTATGACAACATACGTGCAATTATTTTGGACCCTTCCCACGTGTTCAAATTCTATGATATATATTTCAAATTCATTCTTTGTTCTATATTTTACAAAGTGTGGGTTTTCGCTAATTACTCAGTCAAAGAAAGTCAGCCACAAATGAATGGATTGCGGTTTGATGATTGTAATGACTTTAACCATCATTATAATATGTATCTTAATATTCAAAATTTTCCTTAAATTTTTCGATACTTGTGTTTAACGTTGATCGATTTTCTATGATGGTATATAATCTATGTTATATAAGAGCAGAAACAACCGAAAATAAAAACAAAAAAAATAAGTCTAAAGATAAAATACCACAGTTCAAAGATTCTAGTACAGTAAGCGATGCAGATAAGATGTATCTTAAAATATACAAATTAAAGAACAATATAATTAAGCAATTCGAAGAATTTGGTATGTTCATAACAAAAATATTAGAAGAGATTCCTGAAACGCCGTTATCCATAAAGGACAAATTCAAACAAACTGTTCTTAGAAAAACCAAAAAAACAGAATTGATAGAAAAAATTTTCGGAGATATGACTGAGAATACCTGCGAACTAGTCAAGGCTGCTAACAATATGCTCTCAGAACTCATTATCAATATTTAATTGAAGGTAACACTGTAACAGGTCAATTTTGAATATGCATTATTTATGAAAAACTTGTATACCAAATAATACATTCAGAATCGTAAAACAATACTTTTCAAAAACAATAATTTTTACCTTCCGCGGTTACAATTATTTTTCTTTCTCTACTCCCCATATAGTTGTAATATACAAATACGAATACATATTTTATTATTTAAAGCGTTATTATAATATATTACCATTACATACAATATAGGAGATTGACTGTTTACGTTAAAAATTAAAATATACATGTAAGTTCTAGAGCTACAAATTTGGTGATTTTTGCATTTTTTCTTTAAGTGCTTTACAGCATTTTTGCGTATTTTTTAATTCATTAAAATCCCAGCTCTATGATATGACCAACCAATGGCATTGTTATAGTCACTGTTCACAACTATTTAAATAATCCTTTAGTATACTTATAAAACTCAATATATGGATTCACTTATGCACAAAAATACAAAAAATAAGCTCAAAAAAAATATATAATATGAATTTCAGTACTTAAATTATACAATTAATATGAAAAAGATGTTTGATTATTTACTTAATATAAAAACTTGAAAAATTAACTACTGTAGTTTTCTACTTCATTTTCTTCTCTTTCACCTTAAAAAAAATGTTTCTAAATATACCTATACATGTATGCTCTTAATTTGTCAAAGACCAACATTTTAAACTTAAAATTGTTCAAAGGATGTTCTTCTTTGTCTAAACTATAATTTTCTTAAATCCGAAAATGCCAAATTTTGTTCTTATTTTTTGTAACACATGCTCAAATATGCATTTCTATGCAATGACGACAAATTATGCAAACATTTTCAAAATAGTATTTCGAGTGCACCTAAATAATTTTTTTTACATAATATAATATCTAAACATCACTCACACTGAGGACTTCCTCGATAAATATGAAATAGCTAGAAGTCCTCAGCTCTACTAATAACTAATTTATATTATAGTTTTAAGTAAATCGTAATTTTTAAATTATTAAAATATACATAATATGTTTAAAACAAATGAAACAAAAAATAATAGCAACTAAAATGGACACAAATGTATTAATTGTTTGTTTGCAAATTAAATCAATAAATAAAATAAAAATAAAAATATATAAAATAAAACATAAACGAAGATAAAAAAAATATTTAATTTATGAATAATTATTATAAATATATTATTATTGCTATATTATTTAAAACTGGCTTATATTATAATTTATTTTCTTAAGTAACACCAACACTCATTTTATATATAAAGTTAGATACATTCTATTCGTAATATATAATAATATAATAAATATTTGTGTGTACATTTATTCGTCAGCGGATATGGTCTCTTACACCCATAGATATCATACAGTGGCAAACACTAAAAAATAAAAGGGGGTTCTATATTGAATCACTTACCTCTATATTGGCTAATATTGAAAATATTGGTCATTTTTTATGTCTGCGATTTGGTGGATAACATTTTGAGATGTGCTCTAGTATACAAATATAATCATTCTTTCGTTTAAATTATATTGTGAATGAAACTATGCAAAAAAAAGATATTATAATATATATTCCAAACTAAAGTTAGTTAGGTACAGTATTTGTTCAAATAATCATTCGTTTGATAGATGCCTATAGGGTATTTTTGTAAGTTCAAGTTATACCTAGCCTAAACCATAATACTACAATAGTATAGTACATTCTCATGGTGAATTAGTATTTTGGAATTTTAAAAACTTTATTTTCTTTATTTTTAATGATGTCAGGTTCTTATTTATTATTCACATCAAACGCTTTCTATATCTAAAACTAACACAATCCATTGTTAATTATGGTATTTGTATCTGGGTTCAAGCATATGATTCACATACATATCGGCTTAAAATCACACTTAATAGATTAACTAAATTTTTACTATTGAGACCTATGTATTTTAGTAATGATTTTGCTTATTTATAACTTAATGTTTCATACTTTCAAAATGTATGTTATAGAAATATCATTCTAAACTTTAGAACTCACTTATTTAAATTTGTGATAAAACGTGTTAATTTATATAGGTTTTGTGATTATACTGTTTGCTAAAAATGCTTTTCTTTTTTTCTATTAGTTTTACTCTTATGTAAATCTTATAATAATTTGTTTATATTTGTTTTACCATCTTGTATTGTACTCAAACTTTTATACACCCCAAAATAAGGTTATGCTTAAAGCCTAAAGGGGAGTTGCAAACATGTGTCTTACATATTTCTTCTAATATATTATTGAAATGTATATTGTTTTTGCTAAATAAAATTATTATTATTATTATTATTATTATTATTATTATTATTTATTATATTCACCAAAGAAATAGTTTAATGAATAATATGAATACCTAATCAAAATTTGTTTAAAATAAGTAAATTTATTTATATAAAAAAATAAATATCTATTTATAAATGAAAATCCAAAACATTAATTAATATTTTTACTTGAATATTGGAACTTAATTATGCTAGTTATATCGATTACTTAAATTTAAAGCAGGTTAATAACATTACTAATAGTCACAATGGTATTCTAGACTTGATATTTTGAAACTCTACTGTTGATTCTATGCATGTCTCTAATTGTTCATTAATACCTTTAATTGATTCATATCATCCACCTTTAGAATTTATCTCTCACTTTCCAATACCAAATATTTATTTCCAAACTATTTCTCCTGTAATTTTCAATTTTAATTCCTGCAATTTTAATGACATTCTTGCTTTTTTGTCTCATATAGATATTATGGATAATATATCTACCTTGAATTTAGAAAATGGTATATTGAAATTCCATGAAATAATTAATCATTCTTTTGATTTATTAGTTCCAATGATTACTTTAAATCTTAATACTGATCATAACGTTTCTTGGTCAAATTATAATTTAAGAAAAATAATTAAATTCAAAAAATTAGCGCATAAAAAATATAAAATTTCAAATTCTTTATCTGATTATTCTATTTTATCTAATTTACGCAAGGAATGTAAACAACTATCTAAACAACTTCAATTAAATTACATACTTAAGATTGAAAATAACATTAACATTAATATAAAATCATTTTGGAAATATATTCAATCTCTCAAATCAAATAAATCTAATATTCCAATGTCAATGTCTTTTTATAATACAACTGCTCATAATATAGAAGAAATCTCTCAATTATTTGCTAATCATTTCTCCTCTGTTTACTCTAAAAATAAATTGCCTGATGATATTCTTGAATCTCTTAATGTCAATATGCATGATATAAATATTAACTCAATGTACATATCTGAGGATGAAATTGCTGATTATTTAATATCTATTGATGATAAATCATCTACTGGTCCCGATGGTATTCCACCGATTTTCTTAAAAAAATGCTTTTCAGTGTTAGTCAAGCCATTGCACTATTTATTTAATCTCTCTTTATCAACTGGTGTTTTTCCCACCTTTTGGAAAAAATCATTTGTTACACCTATACATAAATCTGGGAGTAAGAATGATATTTGTAATTATCAGCCAATCTCTAAACTTTCTGCTATACCTAAAGTATTTGAAGCTATTATTATTTATTTCTAAAAAACTGTCCAGTATATTATTAAATTATATTTGTCCCGCTCAGCATGGTTTCTTAATGAAGCACTCGATTTTCACCAATTTACTATTGTATCAAAATTTTCTAACTAATGCTTTAGATCAAGGTCTTCAAGTTGACACCATATACACTGATTTTCAGAAGGCTTTTGACAAAGTTGATCATATTTTACTTTATTATAAGTTAAAATCATTTGGTATAGATGGTAACTTTCTTAAATGGCTATATTCGTACCTCACAAATAGAACTCAAGCCGTCAAAATCTCATTTCACTCATCACAAAATGTTCAGGTCTCTTCTGGTGTCCCTCAAGGTTCCCATTTAGGTCCTCTACTGTTTCTAATTTTCATTGATGATTTACCACATTATATATTAGATAACTCTAACATAGCACATATTTTATTATTTGCTGATGATGCTAAAATTGTTTGCAAGATAAATTCTGTAGCTGATCAAATAAATCTTCAATCAATATTAGATATACGTAAGTTTGTTATTTGGAGTAAAAAAAATTATTTACCATTAAATATTAATAAGTGTAATGTAATTTCTTTTACCCGTAGAGCTAATCCTCTTTTGAATCAGTATATAATTAATGAGTGTCCCTTATCAAGAGTCAATTCAATCAAAGATTTGGGAATTCACTTTGATAGTGATCTTGGCTTCAAATTGAATCATAAAACAATCCTCAACAAATCATATAAGATGTTAGGTTTCTTAAATAGAAATACTAAAGAATTTAAAAATCCTAGATGCTTAAAATTACTTTATACTTCTTTAGTTAGATCTAACCTTGAATTTGGCTCACTTGTTTGGTCGCAAAATCTAACAACATTTTACTCTGAACTTGATAATGTTCAAAACAAGTTTCTCAAAAATATTTCATATAAACTAAATCTTCCTTTCTCCAGAGACTCAATTATACCAATTCAGGTATCATTGGATCTCGATAGTCTTTCTCTGAGACGGAATCTAACTGATATAATGTTTATTTTTGACATTATTAATGGTTTTGTTCTTTGTCCTGAATTATTAGCAATGATTGGTTTCCGAATTCTTCGTCTTAATACGCGCAATCTAGATTTATTTGTTATTCCACATTATAGAACTAATAGTGGAGCCTTCTCTTTTCTACCAAGAGCTCTTAGGTTAGCCAATTTAATCTCCCACCATCTTGATTTTTTTAATTCTACTCGTGTAAATTTTAAACTAAATACTGTATTGCTTCTAAAAAAACCACATTTTATCTAATTATTATTATTACTTAATATTGTTACTTGTCGTATACATTTATTCTTAGTAATTTATTTTTAATTTTAAAACATTATTTAAATTTTTGTATTTTTATTACCTACTTAATTTATATGTATTTTGATTGTTGTCATATTGTTATATTATATACTTTGTAAAGGGCTATTGCCCGTTGAATATATTCAATAAATAAATAAATAAATAAATAAATAATTATTTATTATTTTAATTAGGTATTAAAGTTATAAATCGGTTAGTTGGCAACACCGATCGAGAACTTACATACAAATAATAACAATTTTCTTGAAAACCATGAAAATATCATTTTATATAGGCCACAGACATTGATCTGATTTTGCTTTACCTTATAGTCCATATAGGTAAGTATTTTGTTTTTTTGATCATGGTTGGCATAAGTTTGAGTTTAATATTTGAACGAAATTTATATTTTATTCTTCATCACTAACGTTTTTATGGATTTATCGATACCTATGCAAAAAACAAAATCAAACACTTTGATAACACAGCTGTTCAACTTCTGAACAGACTGTAATTTGTCTTTTAAATAATATAAAAACATATTCTTTTTTATAAACCTAATACAACGATTGAACAAATTCATATACGCAGTAGTTAGTTTGAACTTAATATTGTATACCCAATAGCTGTCGTCCGCCCGGTTGAACCTCTTCAGGTAGCTCCGGATGCATCCGTGACCCGAAAGCACCTGTGTCAGTCGGAAAGTCAAGGTTAGCGGTGGCGGAAAATTAGAACGAAATCATATTTCTGATTGAGCCGTCTCTGTGCTATATGTATATCCGTTTTTTTCGTTAATCGTTACCTATGTCATGACTTATGAATGTTATTAATACACTATAATACAGTTCACACATATTATCTACCAGTGTTGTAAAAAATACTTTTAAAAAGTATTTGAGTAATTACTCAAATACTTATAAAATAAAGTATTTAAAATACCACCCAAATACTATCTATTGTAAAGTATTTGAGTATTACTCAAATACTTTTTAGAAGTATTTGAAATAATTTTCAAATACAAAACAAAAAAATACGTACGTATACGACATACCTTACCTACCTAATGTTCGTATTATATTTCGCTATGATAATATACTATATTGGTAGGTAGTAGGTACCGAAACGTACCGTTCCAATCGTCGTCGAGTGTCGACGATAAACAGACGGTTTCTCAGAGTAACTAATATTAATTAGCTATTAATAGACGAAAACTAAAACCAATATAGAATTGTTCATAAATGATAAATATATATTATAATATTATTAAGACATTATTATTATTTGACAATGAATAAAAAATTGAAGGAATAAAAAAAGTATTCAATAAAATAGTATTCAATAGTAAAAAAATGTATTTAAAATACCGTTCAAATACTTCAAAAATAAAAGTATTTGAAAAAGTATTCAATACGGAAAAAAGTATTTGAATACTTTTACTCAAATACTTTACAACACTGTTATCTACATCCATGAAAGCAATTGTTGACGTTTGATATAAGATTTAACTGATTGCATTACAGTAATCTTGCAAAAAAAAAATGTAAGTATAACTGATAATATTACCTAAATATGACAAATTTTTTTATTTCAGAAAAAAATATTATGTGTATTTATTCATTTGTTTCAGAAATGGATTATACAGTAAAAAGAAATTTGAAATTACTGAAGAGGAGTTGGCCAAAATGAAGGTTTTTGATAACGGTTAGGTTTTCATCAATCAGTTTAAATTTTAAATTTTAGATTCTGAGTGAAACGATGAATGTATTGATTTTACAATGATGTGTGTTTTTGTTTTTTTTATTTGTGTCTGTGTACACGATAAGTAGTCGAAATAATGCTTCGATTTTCGACTTCAGTATCTTGTTCGATTGGAAAGTGAATATCGTTGGTGCATTGGGGAGGTCAAAATTCCCAGTACTTTTCAAAAGCGCCAAGAAAAACAAAAGAAAAATTAAGGAAAAACGGGAATTTTTACGCAAAATCGATTTTTCAGAAAATTGAATTTGGTTTTTGGTGTAACTTTAAAACAAATGACCGTAGATACATGAAATTTTCACTGGTTGTTTATATTTGCATTTTCTATACATGATAACATTTTCAAAATATTTTGATTTATTTTAAACAGTTTAGGGACATTTTCATTTTTCATTTTTTTTAGTTTTTTTTCTAGAAATATCAATAAAATTTTATTTGTTGGTTGCGAAAACTTGAAAATTTAATAGAAGGCTCCTACTATATTGTTTCAAAGGCAGATGAAAAATATTAAAAATCCTTAGTCACAATTTTTTTTTATAAGCATTTAAAGTTCAAAAATTGACAAAATATGGAAAAATCACGAAAATTAGCAAATTATTTTGAGTTAAGAATTCGTAAAAATTTTTCTTTTTAAATCTAAGATTTGAAAATGTAATACAAGATTACTCATAAGTTTGTCTACCTTTATCAATAAAAAAATCTCTACCCGACAGTCATATTAAATTTTTATGAGCGTTTGAAATTCAAATTGTTACATCATTGGATGTTCACTCGATTTCTCATGTAGCGATTTCCTTATTTTGTTGTTATTCATAAACGAATAACTATAGATACATGAAAATTTCACTGAATGTTTATATTAGCATTTCCTATACACCATACAATTTTGAAAATATTTTGACTCTTTTTGAGCTGTTTACGGACATTTTCAGTTTTCAATTTTTTTAGTTTTTTTTCTATCAGTTGAAAAATGTTAAAAATACATAGGCACAATTTTTTTTTATAAGCATTTAAACGTCGAATTTTGACAGAATTTTTCAAAATCTCGAAAATGATTAATCGTCGTAATTAATAAATTATAAAATGTTCAGTTTTTATAGCTAAGGATTGAAAATGAAAAACAAGATTCCACGTAAGTAATTAATTCTCTTACCGAAAAATCTAAAAAATATACAATCACAGTTTATTTTTATAGTCATTTTATGTTCAAATTTGGACGAAATTACATATTAAAAAACCTAGTTATTTTGTTGTGATTGTATAATAATATAATATTATTCGGGGGTACCTACTTGAAACTTCTAAAGTGTACTATTATATATCTATGATAGTATCAGGGTTTGTTATTGATGTTGATGTATAACATGTTATAAGTACCTAATGGATATTGTGATAATATGATATGATTAATTTGGAATTTATTATAAGTCAATTTTTTTTTTAATACCATAGATATGTATATAATTTGTCTTAAACCTAGACTGACATACCGTCTTCGCTCAGAATCGTTTTTCTTATACAATGATATTGTATCATTGAATTCAAATTTAAAAGCATCCATTATACAGTGACCCACTTGTAACCTACTGTACAGCAGAGCGACATCCACTTACCCACCTTTTTATTATTAAAGAATGAAAACAATTTATTTTTCTATTATACATGTAACGTCGGTGTCTATAAATCGAGTAAAAAAAAATAAATAAAAAATATTGAATATAACAAAAGTTATCCATAGGTTAGGGAACCTTAAAGTAGTTAAACTTCAATTCACACACATCTTTTTCTTTAGTTTTACATTTTTACAATGCCCCTCTGATTTAAGGTTTTCTTTTTATTGAAATTTAATAATTTCAAATCAATCTGTGTATACTAAAAAAAATATGGAATATGTACCAAAGTTCTTTTGTTTACACAAATAAATAACAAAACTAAAGTGACACGACAAACAGAGCCGTGCCGTCGGGGGGGGGGGGGGGGGGGCTAGGGGGCATATGCCCCGGGCGCATGGTTTAAAGGGGCGCCAAACATTTTTTTTTTATAATATTTTAAACTTTACATAAATAAAATATATGAGAAAGATTATTGTTTTACAATTATTTTGGACCATTACAAATTTTTTCTGAACAAATTTCTGACTATGTTTGAGGAGTAACAATTAGTCAACCAAACGTTTTATTCTTGTTATATTATTGGCTTTATAATAAATTATCGTATTCTTTATCTCAAAATCGACTGCACGTCGAGCACGCGAAGTGCGATAAGCGTTAGTAAATAAAAACCAGATACAAATTATTGCCTATTGGTATTAACTTTTATATATTATTTTTACATTTTACAAATCACCATGTCATGTCACTATGTCAGTTATCCTTAGTTAGTACGTTATCTGAATCGAACAGGGCTACACGTTCTTCTTGTTATTTGTTCGTGTTCGTATAATTATACCGTACACACTACATGTTTACATCGGTATACCACCATTGAAAACAAATTTGCTCTTGAGTTTTTTTTAAGGATTTAAGGTAAGATATGTAAGATATATTTTTATAACCTACATAGTATATGAATGACAGTAGTTAATGGCAGTATATTTTTGATTTATAGAATGGTCCCTAAAAAACTATCAGGTGCACAAAAGAAAAAAAGAAAAAAGAATATCGAGTTAGAAAATAAATTGTTAGCCACTCAATGGAAAAAATGGATAAATAAATCAAATCAAAGAAATTCTTCATCTAATTCGACTATTAATTGTAATGAGAATAATAGTAATGAAGTTATAGAGTAAATTGTGTGTAATGAATTATTAGAAAATTCCGATGAATCGATTTCTGAAAATAAAATATTAAAAAAAACTGAAATACTTGATGCCTGCAATGTGGAGATTGAAAAAAATATTAAAAATGAATCTCAAGTTACCGAAGAAATATTCGAAATTGATTTTAATGATCCCTCTTCTTGGCCACCAATTACTGATAAAATTCGTACATTATTGATAAACCATGGTCCCGAGACGGGTAAAAACTCTGATTTTTTTTTTCTGAAAATGTAACTAACAATAGGCGATTTACAATAAATTGGTTCACTAAAATGTTACCAAATGGTGAAAAAGTTGAGCGTTCATGGCTATTGTACAGCGATAAAACTAAATGTGTCTATTGCTTTCCATGTATGCTTTTCGCAAACAAAACAATGACTTCTCCATCAATAATAGATCCACAACAAGGATTTAATAATTGGAAAAAGTTAAATCCTAAAATACCTGACCATGAGAATAGTAATGAACACCGTACAAATATGTTTAAATGGGCCGATTTCAAAAGTAATTTAAATAAAAATAATACGATTGACTGTGCACTGCAATTAGAAATTAATAATGAAAAGGAAAAATGGAAACATATTTTGAAAGTTGTGATTGACTGTGTTAGATTTTGTTGCGTAAACAATTTAGCTTTGAGAGGATCTAATTGTGATATAGGAAAACCTGGCTGTGGAATATTCTTAAATTTAATTGGTCTAATTAGCAAATATGATTCTGTTTTATCAACTCACTTAAAACATAAGGGGAAAATCACATATTTATCAAATAAAATCCAAAATGAATTTATAAATTTACTCGGTTCAAAAGTACGAAATGAAATCATTCAGAGGATAAAAAATTCAAAATACTTTTCTATTATTTTTGATTCCACCCCGGATGTTTCTCGTGAAGATCAACTCTGTGAAATTATAAGATATTTTAGAGAAGTTAATAACGAGTTTGTCATTGAAGAAAGTTTCGTAGATTTTATTTATACCAATGAAAAGACTGGACTTGGAATAGCTTCTGATGTATTACAAAAGTTGGAGAAAGATGGACTTAGTTTTAAGAATTGTCGTGGACAGGACTATGATAACGGCGCAAACATGGCGGGAAAATATCAAGGTGTACAAGCTCGATTAAAAGAGATTAATGAACATGCTCAGTTTGTCCCTTGTGCTGCACACAGCCTTAATTTAATCGGCGTACATGCTGCTAGTGTATCAGTAAAAATGTTTTCGTTTTTCGGTATTGTACAAAATATATTTAACTATTTTTCTGGATCAACAAGTCGCTGAGAAGTACTAATGCGGTGTTTGAAAATAACATTAAAAACGCACAGTGACACACGCTGGGCATCTAAATATAATGCAGTTCATTCGTTGTATTGTCAATTTGGCGGTGTGATAAAAGCTTTACGTGACATATCTACCAATCCAATTTTTGGCGATGGGGTTGCTAATGCAGAAAGTATATTGAAACAGTTTGATTTGGAATTTGCTTATTTTTTAGTCATGTGGGATAAAATATTGAATCAAATATATCGTGTAAATAAATTATTACAAAGCTCAAATATTTCAATAGATCAGGCTTCAAAAATGATAAATTGTTTAAATGTTTCTCTCCAAGAAATGCGTGATAGTGGAAATGAACAAATTAAAACTGAAGCTATTAGTATTTGTGATAAAGTTGGAATAAAATCTGAATTAAAAATCAAAAGGACAATAAAAAGGAAAGTTATGAGTGGAGAAAATTCATCGCGTGAAGATATTTCTGCAGATCAATTTTTAACATTGGAATACTACAAAGTTCTTGATAATATGGTGGCTCAAATGAAATGGAGGTTTGAACAATTATCAAATATTGCTGATGATTTTCAATTCCTTTCTGCTCATTCACTATCTGTTACACCAGTTGAAAAATTGAAAAAATATGCAGCTGATTTAGCTATCAAATACAACGAAGATATTGACCAGGAAATAATTAACGAAATCGAATTTTTTAAATATCAAGTAAAAGCAATTTTACCAGACTTAAACGCAACTGCTTTAAATATTTTAAACGCAATTAAAAAATATGAACTTGATTCAACTTGTCCAAACTTAATGACTGCATATAGATTGTTTCTTACCATGCCTGTTACCGTCGCTTCCGGGGAACGCTCTTTTAGTAAATTGAAACTAACTAAGACGTATTTACGGTCAACCATGTCGCAAAACAGATTAACCAATTCTGCAATATTATCAATTGAGCATGAAATAACAAAAAGCATTGATTTTGAAGACGTCATTGAAGATTTTGCTTCAATAAAGTCCAGAAAAATTAAGTTTTAACTATATGATACTTATATTATATGATACGCTCTTATGATACGTTTGTAAATATAACATGTATATTGTATATATAATATAATTTGTGATTTTTATCATTTTTAATTATTTAATACGGTATAAATTAATAAATTATACCTAACTATTTTGTTTAATAATTACTATTACAATTAACTTTAGTTTTTTGTCAAATTAATGTTCAAAATACGTTGTAAAAAAAAACTAAATTAAATTACAGTAGGGTCTCGATAATCCGAACGAGATTGGGGAAAGGGGTCGTTCGGATTACCGATTTGTTCGGATTACCTATGACTTAATAAAAACAACAATTTTATTGTAATTTAAGTTATGAAATTTATTTTTATCTGTATTAATCATTGAATAATGTATAATTATAAATGTGTATATGCAAATTATATATGTATGTATAACATTCTGATCCATTGGTTGAATACGAGCAGTTGTATTTGGTGGAAGAAACATCGCAAAAATTTTGCCATCTTCACTACGAAGTTCTTCTACAGATGGGTGACCTGGGCAGTTATCCAATAGCAATACAGCTTCCATAGGAAAATTAATTGAAGAAAGATGACGACGAACGCTAGGAACAAATTCAGTGTTGAACCAATCTAAAAATAAATCTCTTGTAACCCACGCATTCTTCTGCCCTCGGTAGTACACAGGAAGTGTAACCGATTCAAATGCACGAGGCTTGTGAGCTTTTCCTACAACAAGTAAACGAAGTTTATGGTTGCCCGTCGCATTTGCGCAAGGCATAAAAGTGACTCTTTCTTTCATCATTTTTCTACCGGGAGCGGCCTTTTCTGTAGATGACACTAAAGTGTGGTCAGGCAACATTCGCCAAAATAATCCAGATTCGTCAGCATTGTAAATTTGTTCTGCTTTAAATTTTTTTTGTATGACAAGTTGTTCAAATTCTTCTTGGAACGGTTTGATGGAGTCTTCTTTACTCGAAAGTTTTTCACCGGAAATTTTGAGACGCCTTATCCCATGACGCTTTTTAAAATTGTCTAACCAACCTTTGCACGCATTAAAAGGGGGCACCGTAAATGTCCGGAAAATAATAAGGCGGACTGTAAAAATCCGGAATTTTTCCGTAATGTCACGGACCGTAAAAATCCGGAAAAAAATTCCCAAGAAAAGTAAATATACGGACCGTAAATTTACGGAATTCAAAAATATTGAACCATAATATCACGGACTGTAATGTCCCGGACTTTAAATTACAGGACCGTAAAATACCGGAAAGCAAAAATACATGCTCCGTAATATCACGGACCGTAAATATCCGGAATTTGCTAATACGACATGAGCGCTATCTAGTAGCATACATAATTATTTGTTATAGAAATACTATTTACCATTTGATGTCTTTTTTAGTTTTTAATTTTTGTGTCTTTCATCACTCTTTGGGGGCTTAGCATTGGCGCTATTTCATGTTATGGTGAAAAAATGCTGGTGTTAGACCCACCTACTTAAAAATAGTGCATTAAAGTCACGATATCCTGCCTTTAAATATTAAATACCACTAATAACTGATGACTTATTATAAAAATATAAAATATTCAATATTTATAGCTAAGTATTGAAAATTTAAAACAATGATTCTAATAAATAGTTCAGACTATTACCAAAGATAAATAAATGATATTATGAAACACAGTTATTTTTTACAGACATTTTAAATTTAAATTTCGATGAAAGTACATATTAAAACTAAGAATAACGATTTTAGTTATTTTGTTGTAACTTAAAAATATTACTCTTGTATACCTATATGAAACTTTTATAGTGTATTATTATATTTAATACACAATATAAGATTTTCAAATGTAAATTTTTTGGAAAAAATGAATATAACCTACCGTTGTACCTATATACTAATGCCCAATACTACAATTATTATTAATTAGGTACTTTAATCACAATAATATCATAAAAATATACCTACTTAGTAATATTATAGTCTGATAGACCGTCTTCCCTCTGAACCGTTATTCCTGCACAATGGTTTTATATCATTGCATTCAAATTTAACATCACCCACTTGTAACCTACTGTACAGCAGAGCGACATCCACTTTCCCACTTTTTTATATTTTTGTTCTAAAAATTAAAATATTTTCATTGCTTCAATACCAATCCTACTTATCCTAGTATTCTAATATATAAAATTAATATAGTACTTTAACCAATATAGCAAGTAGTAATATATACATATATACCATATACATTAACAAAATAGTAGGTATTAGATTTTCGTGATCTAAAACGAAATTCGATTTCGAACCACAGCAATTAGCAATTTCTTCAGGTTCAAAGAAAAAGATCTAAACACACAAAAATTTGGATAAGTAGTTCCAGAGTTTAGCAAGTAGGAAGGTATACCTACTAACAAACTCAAAATTATCTTTATGTAACAGCATAATATTACATATTAATTATAGAATATAAACCGACATAATATTTAATAAATATCACAGTAGATTTGTTTTTAAACATAATTCAAATACAAATTTAATACTATTTAATACTATAATTGTATTTGTTACCTATTTATTTGTTTTAATTTGATTTCATAACAGTTTCAAATGCATTATGGAAAAATCACCTAGTTACGTACCTACATATTTACTACAAACTATAGGGCTTATAAAAAAAAAAATACACAAATAATAGATTTCCAGAAATATTATTTTTTATACATTGATGTATTATTATTCTATTATTTTATATTTTTTGGTAACTTAAAAGGAGCCGCAAAGAAAGTAGAAACTATAGCATAAGTCATAATTTAAGAATAGATAATATTATTATATGGGTACGTAATATCTCGTATGTCCGTACTCCGTATGGTTACAAGACAAATGTAGGGGAGACCAGAGCAAAACGCATAGGTTAACTTTATGTGTCAAAAAATGGTGTCCAAACTATTATTTTAATAACTATTTATTAATATAATCATAAATTGACTTCTCAAATCCATTATTTATTCCTTCAAAAAATTTAATTATATCACTCAATTAATGATAAAATGAAAAATTTTTAAAAGTGGAATTTTATTCACTTTGCTAGGGCATAGTGAAAACATATGGTGGGCAAAGTGGTCAACTATGGGATAAATAAATAATTTAAGTTAATTCATTTTATAATTGTATAATATGAATATTATACAGTCGAATCCGCTTAATTGGAACACATCGAGTGGTGACTTATTTGTCCCCATTATCCCGACTGTCCCGATTAACCGAAGAATTTTACATGCAATTCGTTCGGGACTGTCATTAATGTTCCCTTTAAGCAGATTCTACTGTATTTCACATCAAGTGTACACCAAAGCGTTCGTTTTGAAATAGAGTAGTCGTACACGATGTTTGTTTTAAAAAAGTGTTACATCAATGTACACTTTTTTCATACCGATCCAAGAGCAGGTGTCGGAGATCATTATCATTTCTTATTAGCGTATAGTTGATTCAGTAATAAATTCAGCTGATTAATGTACACGGTACTAATGTATCACGAACTAAGATATACCTTAAGGTGACACATATTATATTTATGAATGATAAATGTCATATTAGTGACTCGATCTTCTTAACACATATTACTTTAAATTAAATAGTAGAAAATACAATAAACATAAAAGAAAATAACTCTTTTTTTGATAAATAACCAATGATTTTGGTAAATAGAATACATGCAAAACTATATCGATACCTTTAAATATTTTTTTAACATAAGGCATCTGGAATATTTCCTACAAAATTTAAAAAAAACCCTTATAATTTCTTCATATAAATCAGGGGCTTCTGAAAATATAACTGATTATAGACCTACCTCTCTCAGTCTCTCACTCTGTCTATTTCAAAAATGTCTTAAAAATAGATTAGTACAAATTTTAAATTATCATAATTTTTTTTTCTAATAGTCAGTGTGGGTTCAGGAAAG